GGAGGGAGATTTGGGGGCTCAGAGAGGAGGGGGTTCCAGGCTACTTGATGGGGCTGCCCCTGGGAGAGCTCCATCTCCCATGCAAGGGGGGAACCCATGAGTCTCAAGAACATGGGCTCCCTGGTGCCCCCTCAGGGCATCTCATGTGGGTGCCAAAAGTTTGTTTGTTCATGTGGCAGCAGCTGAAATATGCTAATGGAGGTATTGCAGGGCCTAAAAGTGATCAGAACTTCCAAGACATTGCCAGGAACTGCATGGGGTGTGAGATGAGAATCTGTATTTTAAACAAAATTCCAGGTGAGGGTCTCTCCCTCCCTCAAAAACTAGACCTATTTTCTGGCCAAAGGCATGGCAGAAAGAAGGGAATATTATTTCTATTTTTAGCTGAAGCCACTGACCAGAGCCACCAAAGAGTTTCACTGCCTTTTTCCATAAAAAACAAAAGTTGTCTTTGAAAGATATCCAGGATATATTGATTTTTTAGAAAACAATCTATGGCAAAAAAAAAATCAAGTATTAATTGTGAATTGGTGAGTGCAGAGGAAAACAGCTGAATGATTATACATCAAACTATGAAGGGTACCTCAGGGCATATATTACTTTTGTAAGCAAAATATAATAGTAATAAAGTTTAAAAAAAAAACCCAGCAGAGAATGTCCATTCATGAATAGAGCCATCTTTCTGATGATAAGCGGTTGTACCATTCCTTCTGAGTTGATCTGTCATTGGAATTAAGGCAGAATCATAAAATGTGGGAGCAAAAAGAAGGTTCAGATACAATCCGGTCTTATCCCTCTTTTTATTCTGAAGAAAGCTAAGACCTAAAGCAATTCATTCATTCAAAAAGAATTTACTAAGAGTCTGAAATGTGCCAGGCAGGACTTGAGGCTCTGGGCTTCTCTTCAGGGCTTGATCCAAGGCTCAGACTAAAGATGCCCCCCTGTATCATTCATCACAGTAAGTGGATCCCACACACGTACCCCAACATATGACAGCAAATCTTACCATGTAACTATTACTCTGAATGTAGAAGTCCTTATAGGGAAAACACAATAAGGCATGCACATTAAGTTGATGCCAATACACTTTTATTAGGCAAATACCCCTGACAAGACGTCGTGATGGTTACCAGAGATATCAAGATGAAAAACAAAGCATTTCACAGTCTTGGGAGAAAGGCAGGTGTGTAAACCAGTAAGACAGTACAATGCCATAGGTGAGTGTGCGTAAAAGTGCATGTCTGCGATGGCATGCTGCCAAGTGGGCAATAGTTGACTTTTCAGGGAGAGTGCAGGGAAGTCTTTGCTGGGATAATATCCAAGCTGGGTTTTGAACAGCAAACAGCAATAAGTAGCAAATATACCAACTTATCTAGGCTCTGCCCACTTTCTCATTTGAGTAAACAGAGGCCAGATAGCAAAGGTAATTTAATTCAATTCTAAGCTTTGCTGTGTTTTGTAAAGGAAGCCTGAGCAAATACAATTTTACAACCCACTGCCACAACCAAAATTCCCTTTTCCCATTGCTCTACACCTGTTCTCTCTCACATCCCATGTCTGCACCAAAGCTTCTCTCTTCATCCCTCTCTCCCACCTGCCTACTGAAAACTCCCCACCAGAATCCGGCTCTCATGGTCTTCAGCTTGCTGTCCACACTCCCTTTTCTTCAAAGTCTATCTTGTCTTCTCTCTGGCAGACAAATCTTGGCCATGTTTGATACAAATCAAAAGGGTCCCTTCTCAGTTCTGCTTCTTACGGCTCTAACAAGGCCAATGATAAGGGATGGCAGACAGTGTTTGCCTTAGAGAGTGGGGTGCAGGAAAGTGGGTGAATGCTCACTTGGGGTGAAGGTTTGACCCTGCCAACACTGACAGTGAGTTTGGGCAATGAGTGTGGGCTGCTCTGTGGACAAGCAAAAATCCCAGTGTCTAGGCTTCAGCTTGGGATAGATCAATCTGTCTTTCAGGAGAATAGTAGCTGCCAGTGGACAATTATGGGGGTGTCAAACACACTTATTGAGATATCGAGCCCTCTGGAGCGAAATTTTCCATTAAAAGCATTTTACAATTTCTCTTTCTACTTGTAATTATATTGGGAATAGGGTGGACAGAGTGAGCTACAGATATCTTTTAAGCTGGAGATATTTTATAGACTCATGAATTAGGAATGGGCTTTATCCTACAGCCAAATTATTAAGCAGCAAATTTTCTTCCTGTCTCAGGAAGAAAGAGTGAGAATCTATCAAGACTGAACTTCTCAAAGCCTTGCAAGGCAGTGTTTGGCTGAAAATTTGCTACAGTCCTAATTTAGGAGCATTCAGATAACACTGAGTGTACTCCAGTAGGCCGTGTGGAGTCATTATCTACCCTAAGTAGATTCAGTTCCAAAGCAGGCAATTAAACAGCTTATTTTAGGCAAGAAGGCTGCTGTAAATGAGCTAACTCTATTACCTTCAATGCTGTGCTTATCTGGCCCTACAGGATAGCCCTGGATAGCAAAGGAAGCCCTTTACTGCTGGGACCAGAGAAGGCTCATGCGCATCAAGACTCAGCCTCAGAAGTGTCTGTACATAGAGGACACCACCATTAGTTGACCTAAATGCCTCCGCTTTGGTTTTAAACAAGGATTTTCTCATGTTATCGTCGGGGAGATACGAAGCTCTGCAAGGAGAAGGATGGTATCTTTCATCTCTGAGCATGCTCCAGGGTGCCCTGCTTTATCAAAGCCCTCACTTCCTCATCTCTAAAGCTGGGGTAATGATACCGACACACTGGGAGCTGCAGAGAACATTATCGATCATGCACATAGAGCTCCCAAAACAAATCCTGGCATACAGCAGCCTCTCACTATACACACACCTAAACTGATAATGAAGAGGAGACTATCGCAAGAGGAATCATGGACATAAATTACCCAGAAACATGTAACTTTATTGTTGTGTGTGCTATAAGCCACCATTTTCCATAGACAGAGAACATCAAAATACATAGCAGTGAAAGACAGTATTTTTACAATATATCCTACTGGTGTGAAATCTAATGTAGTGAATACTTGATATATAATATAGAGTTAACTGTTCTATATAATTATATAATCAATTAAGAATTAACTATATATGTAAAACAGTTATATAAAAGAGTTAACTATATATGTAAAACAGTTACCTCTGTTCCCCTGCCTCTCTTTCTCTTGACTGAGAAACCTCGAGTGTTGTTTTTCTCAGATGACAGGGACTTGTGATAAAAAAAAAAAAAAATCTTGTGTGCACAGGCATAATTAAGGCACATTTGTTAACATAGTGAAATTTCAGTATTGGATTTTACATCATTTACCAAAAGAACCTCCTCTCTGGGCTAGAGGAGAATTTTCCTCCAAGCCGTTAGACATTGCTTAATACAATTCAGCCTAGTCCCTCCTGATGGCAGTGTTTCGTCCCCGTCAAAGACAACAGGGGCATTGCCAGAAGTCAGAGTAGAGGCCGGTCAGGAACCCAGAATCCAGAGGAAAACACCCATCAGTAAGATGTCTCAGGGGTGACTATTATAGTTTCCAGATGGTATAAATTTTGTCTATGTGACCAAAAGCCTGCCAGTTCTGTGAGCTCAGGTTCAAGGTCTGGAGGGCATATCAGCATAGCCGAAGGCAGTTCTGTTAGAGGGAGCTGTCAAACGGCAGAATGAGGAAAGAAGACTAGCAACGATCGAGCTGCTCTCATATGCTCAGTCCTACCTGCTGGTTTCAGGCTCATGCTCAGCTAGCCCCTGTGTTCTCACATCAGTCTCTGGTCTCTCCAAATTGTTGTGTCTTTGGCCTCCCCAGGAATAACACAATAAAAATCAAATAGCCACGGGGAAATGAGTTCCCACCATCATGGGATAAACATCCCAAAAGGCAGTGGTTTTGGTTTCTGGCAAATGTTCAGTTCAAGCCTAATGTGGGAAGAAGTAGGAATAAAAAGATGGAAGGATCGGTCTCTTCCCCCAGCAGAAGCCGCTGTGGGTGACTGGCCAGCAGTTAGCTCCAATTTAGGACAGAGAGGCGATAAGGAAGGGACAGCCAACGCAAACCAATAAATCTCTCCTTCTGAGCGAACTTTTATCTGAAAATGTCAAAAAAAAAAAAAATCCAGACAGGAAATATGTAACCCTAAAGCAATAGCCCAATACACTTATTAGCTGTAACTGGGTTTCCTGAAGATGCAAGATGAGTTAATTGAGTGCTCACGCTTAAAAGGAACACTTCAACTGCAGGCCCTTTCTACCCATTTAAAACTTAGAAAATCACAGTGTTCCTGATGAGAATCAAGATAGGTGGACCACTTAAAGAAACAGGCCCAGGAACCACTGGACACAAACACACCCAAATAGCTGGTCCCTCCTCTGTACCATTTTGTAAATAAGTAAATATGGCTATTACGTGTGAAGGCGGTAAATATGTAAGTTCTTGTTGTATTTAATGCACAAAGGGCCCAGGGTGCTAAGGCCTGACTTGTAATTTGTCTGCTTGTTCAGATATCACCTCTAAAGTTTCTTTCGACTTGATTAAGAAACCACAAATATATACAGCTAGTGCTCGACTTATGACCACGATTGGTTCCGACAGACCAGTCATAACACAATTTGGTCGTAAGTTGAGTAGGCTATATGTACAGTACTGTGAAATGATGTTATAAAAATCTTTAAGTCATATTTTATCATAATTTTCTTTCATTGTTATATATCATAATTTTCTTTGTTCATTTTATGCCATTTGTATCATCTCTACTCCATTTTGTCTCTTATTTTTACACAAAACACAAATTGCTGTACCGAGTCTGGGATAACAGCTGAAATGGTGCATGTGGAGATGGTGGTGCTGCCGGAAGCTGGTCCGCACTGTCGTACGCCCAGCAGGGCAACGTTTGCGCTGCCAGACGCGGAGCAGCCGTGGCTAGCGATTGTGGTCGTAAAGTTTAATGGTCGTAAGTTGCATAGGTCGTAAGTCGATCAATACCTGTACTATGCAATGTGGGGGGTGTGTGTGCGTGCGTGCGTGTGTCTATCTAATATATTTAAGGTTAACTTAAGCATAAATACATACATTCACAAATTACAAATACAAGTCAACAACATTGTGCTTCTAGAATCTTCTCACTAGGGAACTTTGCCCAGTGTGATTAGATCGAATAGGCTATCAACTAGTGCATCATGTGGGACATGTGGCAATGTTTGGGGACATTTTTTATTGTCACAACTTGGAGATGGGGTGTTACCAGCATCTAGTGGGTAGGTGCCAGGGACGCTACTCAACACCCTCAAATGCATGGCACAGCCCCTCCCAGCAAAGAATTATTCCATCCAAAATGTCGATATTATTCCAGCCAAAATGCCCAAATTGAGCATCACATTGATCCTTTTTCCTTCATCATCTGGTTCCACGTTTCACCAGCCTGGTCTCTCTCTGCCTCACAGCTCTTCCACCAGTGAAAACAAGTAAGCAGTTCTGAAATGACAGCAGCTTCCCTGACTCTCCACTCGTCAGTTCTCACTTGTATAGCACTGAATTCACTCCACCTAATTTAAACGAAAAATAAATCCATGAAAGGACGTCAAGTAGCTCATAGAATTTCCAGGGAGGCAGAGAGTTTACATTGAAGTGAAGCAGCTGGAGCAATAGCAAAACCGCAATCCAGCTGATACCACCTAGGCACTGACGGTGCCCTTCCACCTCCCCAACTAAAAGATTAAGTCCACCCAGCCCCTGCTCCTCTCATTGCCTACTTCTCACACGCTTGGATCTGATGGGTGGAGAAGACTAGGTAATAGGCCTGTGGCCCAGGTGCGAGAGGACAGATGAGTGAGCTGTAGTGTCTGTTTTAAAGAGGCAAGACAGATAGTGTAGAAAACTCCCCAAACACAGGAAAGATGCTCCAAAGATACTAGAGGCCACAAAAATAACTAATGTCTACAGCCCCCCTCACCTCCAGGCCCAGGGCTCCGCCATCAAGCCCTGCTTTGACTCAGTTTCATGGCCTCGTTCTAGGTTCTTGCTTCTGTATATGCATCTGGGCCTCCAATGAACTAAAGACCCTATGCCAAGTTTCCCCTTTTTACTCCACTGTGCCCCTGCAGCCAATTAGATGCCAGTTTCTTCTTCTCCAAGGAAAAGAACAGGTGAGCAACTGGGAGGCAGGTGGAGTCACTGTGCCAAGTTCAACATCGCTGCACGTGTGGATTTGTTCCTTGAGTTCTCTTTATCTTGAGGCTCTTCCTGCCAAATGTCTACAGAAGTGAGGTGGCCCAGAGTCTACTCCCTCAGAGCAGGTTCAGCCATCTCTTGCTCTCTCCCTTTTCTCTCTCTTTTTTTCTTTTTAAGAAGTCAGAATTACGCATGTTTCTGGGCTACCTGAGCAGCCCATCTTTTTCTCCCTTTTGGATATTCTCATCTCTGGCAAGTTGAAGTCAGACTATTGCTATGGTCTAAGGTCTGTGGCAGAAGCAGACGCAGAAGCCAGTTCTCCTTTTGGCACTGGGAGCACTCCTGTCTCTGCCTCTTTCTGCAGCACACTGGCGTGTGTGTGCGTATGTGTGTGTGCGTATGCATATGTGTTCTGTGCACTTTCATGGGATGTGTGTGTACGTGTGTGTGTGCATGTGTGTGTGCACGTATGCATGTGTGTTCTGTGCACCTTCATGGCATGTGTGTACGTGTGTGCATGCGTATGTGTGTGCGCGTATGCATGTGTGTTCTGTGCACCTTCATGGCATGTGTGTGTGTACGTGTGTGTATGCATATGTGTGTGCGCGTATGCATATGTGTTCTGTGCACCTTCATGGCATGTGTGTGCGTACGTGTGTGTATGCGTATGTGTGTGTGCGTATGCATATGTGTTCTGTGCACCTTCATGGCATGTGTGTGCGTACGTGTGTGCATATGTGTGTGCGTATGCATGTGTGTTCTGTGCACCTTCATGGCATGTGTGTGCATACGTGTGTGTGTGCGTATGCATGTGTTCTGTGCACCTTCATGGCATGTGTGTGTACGTGTGTGTGCATATGCGTGTGTGTTCTGTGCACCTTCATGGCATGTGTGTGCGTACGTGTGTGTGTGCGTATGCATGTGTGTTCTGTGCACCTTCATGGCATGTGTGTGCGTACGTGTGTGTGTGCATGCATGTGTGTTCTGTGCACCTTCATGGCATGTGTGTGCGTACGTGTGTATGCATGTGTGTTCTGTGCACCTTCATGGCATGTGTGTGTACGTGTGTGTGCGTATGCATGTGTGCGTATGTGTGTGTGTTCTGTGCACCTTCATGGCATGTGTGTGCGTACATGTGTGTATGCGTGTGTGCATATGCGTGTGTGTTCTGTGCACCTTCATAGCATGTGTGTGCGTACATGTGTGTATGCGTGTGTGCATATGCGTGTGTGTTCTGTGCACCTTCATGGCATGTGTGTGTACATGTGTGTGCGTATGCGTGTGTGCATATACGTGTGTGTTCTGTGCACCTTTGTGAACATGGACTTTCCTCAGATCAGAGCAGTAAGATCCAAGACCGAGGCTTGGGATTGGAGGAAAATGGGGGTTGAGAGCCTTTTAGTCTGCTTTGATTAAGGGCCACTGGAGGTAGCAGACCCAAATTCAAGTCCTGAGCCTCCTTCTTAATTAATAACCATGCAACCTGGGTGATTTACCTAACCTTGCTGAGTCACAGAGTTCTCAGCTATAAATGAGATCATGAAGGCTACCTCAGAGCTATTAGGACTGAATGAGAAGGCACACGCAAAGTGCCTAGCACATCGTGCACCATGTCTCAGCATTCTGCTGGTCTCCTGGGAGACCAGAAGATGTGAATATTATTCTGTCTTATTTGGAAGCATTCATACCACCTCTGAAGGCAACAGATGTTTTTCCATCTCAAAGTCATTAAAGAGTAAGGGTAGGAAGAAAATGGTGAGGGGGTAGTTTTCAAAGCCCTGAGCAGAGAAGTCTGTTGTAACAGTGTCCAATACGAAATTGGGGTCTCATGTCCAGTGGAGTGGTTACAAGTGTCCCTCATGAGTCCCAGAACAGGAGCCAAAAGCTGGTTTGAGTGGACCTCCCTAGAAGTAACATCCTAGTCCAGAAAGAAATCTCCTCCTCCCCAAAATTTTTCCCACCCATTCACTGGCTCTGAAAATTCCTCCTATAGGGAACACACATTTTCTTGCACAGTGAGAGAGCTTAAAATGTGAGTACTATGTATCCTCCTTGTGAAATTGACTACTCACTGAAATTGATTTGTAACTCGGAAAACTTGAGCACTTTCAAAGCCATTCAGACATGCACAGGGTGGCAACAAAATTTGAGTTGCGGACACTTGCGCTCCCGGCTGAGGTGGAACAAGACAAGTCTCCGACTTCCTGTTTCAGCTCCTGTGCTATAAACAAGCATCCTTTTCATGATCTATCTGGTGCCACTTTTTCACATTTTTGTGCTTTCTGTTGGTGACCTCGCTGTTTGAGAGGGCCCTCCTGCGAGGTGCTGAAGTGGTGTCTAGCATTCCTAAATGCAGGAAGGCTGAAAGTAGTTGTGTTGGATGAGGTTCATTCAGGCATGAGTTATAGTGCTGTTGGCCGTGGGTTCAGTATTAATCAGTCAAAAATGCAGTACATCCAGAAAAGGAAGAGGAAACACACCAAACTGTGTGTGAGTCCTCTCTGGGAAGTGCTGAAGTAACAACTGCAATGCGTGCTGAAGCTATGGAAAACACGAAAAGCACAAGGTCTGTGGATTCACGAGATGACAACCAACCACAGAAAAGTGTAGTGGACAGACAGCATTGCTGTGCGGCGAAAAGCCAAAGACGTTTATGATCACATAATCATCATTGAATTTTTGTTTTATTATTTAAAACATTGCATTTAATTACTTGTTTGTAAGAAAAAACATATCTTTTAAAGTGTCTTCGGACTGAAACTTACATAAAACAAGGTTATGTGTTGATCTGCTGGTAAAAATGTTGTGTCCAGAGACTAAAGAGAATCTCATGTTGTATTTCTCCTGGGAGCAATTATTCCCTAATTCAGTGTTTGTGGCAACTTTGTAGGACATCACTACTGTCAATAATAAGAATCAACAGTAGCACCTTAGGAAGGAACTCTCAGAATCAATGTCACACTGAAGTATGAATTCCCGATGGTGTCTGCTTTCCTGAGAGCACATTTGAAAGGTTCACTGAATGCCTCGTAGGAGGTTCACTGTAAAGAAATAGAGGAATTCCTGAGGAAAGGACAACTGGGAGCAAAAGACAAACTTCTGCTTCCCCACAAGATTATAGCTGCAGTGAAATTGAAATGATTTGCCCAAGACCCAAGAGTGGAACTTAGTGACCATGGAACCTGGGCTTACAGTTCGGGTCTGTCCTCTCTGCACTTGCCTCCAGAGTTTTTGAAAATTTTCTTCATGCCAATGTTCAAGCATGCACTAGGCATGCCAGCAGGCACACCAGCTGCACCAGGACTGCCCATCTCCAGCTAGCCACCAGCTGTGAGTCTTGGAATGGAGGAATACCACGCAATACCATTCAGCCTAAGGATAGTTTAGAAAACAGCCAGGCTGGAGAATGAGCAAATTCTTACCACTGAACCTGCTACCCTACGGCTTAGGATCATTGCTGATCCACTCAACAAAGAATGACATTTGGCCGGGCTTGGTGGCTCATGCCTGTAATCTCAGCACTTTGGGAAGCCAAAGCAGGCAGATCATGAAGTCAAGAGATGGATACTATCCTGGCCAACATGGTAAAACCCCATCTCTACTAAAAATATTAAAATTAGCTGGGCATGATGGCACACGCCTGTAGTTCCAGCTACTTGGGAGGCTGAGGCAGGAGAATCAGTTGAACCCGGGAGGCGGAGGTTGCAGTGAGCTGAGATTGCACCACTACACTCCAGCCTGGTGACAGAGCAAGACTCGTCTCAAAAAAAAAAAAAAAAAGAGAGAGAGAGAGAGAGAATGACATTTCTCAGTCCCAAAGAACACACACAAAAGTATATGTCTGGTAGCATTAATAATTTAAAAAATGATAACAGCAATATTTATGGAGTACTTCTCCCATGCCAGGCATTGGATTCAGTGTTTAATATGTTAGATAACTTGTAAAGCTTAGGGTACATCAGAGTTAAGCCAATTAGTGCAGCATTCTCAGGATGCTGGTTTGTACAGACAGGGAAGTTCCTTGTAGGCAGTGTTATTTCTATAAATCTCACATTGAAATGTGTGTCCTGGCAATAGAGATCACTGAGAACTTAGCAATGAGTGTATTACATTGTATTAATTATGGGATGAATACTTCTTAAACATGTGTCATGAGAAAGAGGGTAGGCTGGGTCCTAAAGACACCAAGGAGAACAATCTCTGTTTGCAAGAAATGTACAGCTGGCAGGGCAGAGGAGTTGTGAACTAACTGAGAGGTAAGCAATGCCACTGTAAGAAAGGAACCATGGATATTCTGTCTCAGAGCTTTGGAGCAATTTCTTCTGCACAAGAGACACTGGGAGACTCTCAGAGGAGGGGACATTTAAACTTGACATAAAGAAAGGATTTGGGGACCAGGGGTAAGGGGTGGAGTTCCAAAGACAGGCAGAGTGAAAAGCAAGGGACAGGCCATCACTAGGCAGGAAGCCACACAGTAAGTGTAGAGAAGAGAGTGTCCAGCATTTGTAATGTTCCAAGTCCTGGGTTACAATGAGGAGGTAAAGATGATGAAGACAAGGCTCCTGGCCTTGAGGGGCTCAAGCTTTAGAGCAGTCCTTCTCAGTGCGCTCATCCATGATAAGGAGCACGCACCAAAATGAAAAGCAACCTGCTGATCCTCCTTTTAGTATAACCTGGCTAAGAAACAAGTGAACTATGCCAGGCGTGGTGGCTCACGCCTGTAATCCCAGCACTATGGGAGGCTGAGGCGGGCAGATCATGAGCTCAGGAGATCAAGACCATCTTGGCCAACATGGTGAAACCCAGTCTCTACTAAAATACAATTAGCCAGGTGGCCCATGCCTGTAATCGCAGCTACTTGGGAGGCTGAGGCAGGGGAATTACTTGAACCTGGGAGGTGGAGCTTGTATCAAGCAGAGATCACGCCACTGCACTGCAGCCTGATGACAGAGCGAGACTCAGTCTTGAGAAAAAAAAAAAGAAAAGAAACAAGTGAACTGACCTAGCAACAGAACTGATTTACATTTTGGCCCATGCTTACCCCATCACAGACCAGCAGCTGGTGTGCAAGCCATGCTCGGAGCCATACTTCTGCAGAGCCACGGCCTCCAGAATGAGCGCATGCAAGAAGACCTATTCAGGCACAGAAAGAAAATATTAAAATTTCTTCTTACACAGGGCCTGAAATCAATGAAGCTAGATGTTCTTTGGCTCATCAACTTTGTTTCCCTGATGCTAGAAAGGCAAAATGGTGCATACACCATGCATTTTTTACACACCACGCCCAGAAGGAACCAGGAAGTGGAAACCGTTTTTACCCCACAGAACACTTCTGACACCAAATGTGTAGGGTTTTCTACCCACATCAACCAATTTCCCAACACCAGCTGGAAGTGTCCTACGCTTCAGTTATCTACCTGAGTTATCTACCTGGGACATTATCTACCTGAGTTAGCATCAGACCCCGTAAGTTAGGGGCTCGGTCTCACAAGATTACCCCTGCTTCAGGTGCCAATTATAAGTCCTGGGTCTCCAGTACTTCTGACTGACCAGCTACAAATCAGGAGATCCCACAATACCTCCTCAGCCTCCAAATTTGTTATAATGACTCACATAACTCAGGTAAACTCTGTACTTACATTTACCAGTTTATTACAAAAGTTACTATAAAATATACAAATGAACAGTCAGATGAAGAATAATTATGTTAATATCATAATCAATTATAATTATCATATTAATATCAACATAATAATAGTAATACTACTAATAATATTAATACATAGGGTGAGGTCCAGTAGAGCCCCAAGTAGAGGATCTTCTGTCCCCATGGAATTGGGGTGCACGACCTGCCAGTACATAGATGCATTCACCAACCCAGAAGCTCTCCAAACCCCATCCTATAGGATTTTGTGAAAAGTCATTACATAGGTGTGATCAATCAAATTATTGGCCATTGGTGATTAAGTCCATCTCTAGCCCCTTTTCCTTCCCTGGAGGTCAGGAGTAAGGCTGTAAGTACCATCCCTCCAATCATGCCTTGGTCTCTCTGGTGGGCAACGTCCATCCTGAAGCTAGATACAGACCCCAGCCACCAGTTATCTCATTAGCTTACCAAAGGCACTCATCACTCTAGAGCAGGTGTCGGGGACCATCCGGGACGGGTAGGCACGTCTGCCGGGGGTCTCTCGACCTGCAAGAGGGTCCCAATACCTGGAAGAGAGCGTGCACTTGAGTGGGGATCTGGAGGGCTGATAGGCCGTGCCTAAACAGCAAATTTTATTTTTCAAAGGCCAAGAATAAATACACTTTCTTCTGCTCTGGTTTACGTCATAGCAAGAGGAAATGCAAATGTATACCTTACATGGCCTACACAATAGAGAAATCAGATACATAATGGTTGCAAGAGGAAATGCAAATGTATACCTTACATGGCCTATACAATTGAGAAGTCAGATACACAATCAGTGGTTGTAAAAAGTAACAGAATTTCCTGTGATCACAAAGCTTGTTTACATCCAGACATTATTCCTCCCGGCTGCAGGTATCTCTGGTTTGATCTTGTTTTAGAACTGAGATGTGAAAAGGTTTTCTGGTTTTGCTCATCAGAATATCTTTTAACTGGATTCTCCTTTGTCTACTCCTGACTCAACTTAACTTAACTTCCTCATTCAGGAGTCTCTGAGTCAGAGATCAAAGCCATCCCTTATGGTGGCATTTGCTTTGCAAATATCCGGACAGTTAAACCATTATCTAGGGTACACGGCAGTCAGGTAAGTAAAGAAAAGGTTAAAGCTTATTCTTTTTTTTTTTTTTTTTTTTTTGAGACGGAGTTTCGCTCTTGTTACCCAGGCTGGAGTGCAATGGCGCGATCTCGGCTCACCGCAACCTCCGCCTCCTGGGTTCAGGCAATTCTCCTGCCTCAGCCTCCTGAGTAGCCGGGATTATAGGTATGCGCCACCATGCCCAGCTAATTTTTTGTATTTTTAGTACAGACGGGGTTTCACCATGTTGACCAGGATGGTCTCGATCTCTTGACCTCGTGATCCACCCGCCTTGGCCTCCCAAAGTCCTGAGATTACAGGCTAAAGCTTATTCTTAAAGAAAGAGTCATAAAAAAGTTAAAAGCAGGAACCGGTTGCTGGCAGGGGGTCACTCGGTCTAGCAGCACCGCATAGTTTTAGGCCCAAACGATATTGTGGTTGATATTAGAAACTGATCAGCCATCTTTAAGTTCCTTTTTCCAGATAGCACGACTGCCTCCAGTAGGAAGCTGTGTTTGGGATCAAACTCACCGTATAGTGAGACTCATGCCTTTTGGGGGTCTCACACAGGAATGTTCCCCACAAGCAGGTGTCTCCAAACTTTTTACACAGGGGGCCAGTTCACTGTCCCTCAGACCGTTGGAGGGCCGCCACATACTGTGCTCCTCTCACTGACCACCAATGAAAGAGGTGCCCCTTCCTGAAGTGCGGCGGGGGGCTGAATAAATGGCCTCAGGGGGCCGCATGCTCTAGAGATTCCAAGGGTCTTAGAAATTCTTCCTTTAGGAACTGCAGCAAAACTTGTGATGGATCCTCAAACAGCATAAAGACTCTAAATAGTCTTTTGTCAGTGTGGGCTGGGTGTTCAGCTGTTGGGAGGCAATTCTCCCCAGATTTCTTGGCACAGTCTAGTCCTCAACCAAAGAGCACTGAGAAGCTCTCTTCACAAATGGTTGGCTAGCAAATATGTTTTGGGAGCTGGAGTGTGTAGAACAAAAACAGACAATGTCTTCCTCCCCAAAGCTATTCCAGAATTGTAAAGCTTAGAGATGTCCTAAGGTGGTAAGGATAATATCTCCCCAAAGGCAAGGGTTACGCAGATTCACTGGCAGTTTTCTGATAGCCAGGACTTAAGCTCACAGTTCCTCAGCTGTGACATACGTCCACTGTGAGCACAGCATCATCTGGTCCCACTCCACATACCCACTACAGAATTTCAGTGGGTGAAGTGCGCAAAGGGAATCAGCAAGAATAGTAATTAACTACCTAAATCCGTGCACACTCACTGCTTCCTTACTCCAGAATTTATGAAAGGGCAGCAAAGAAGCCTCAGGAACTCCTTCACCTCTTGGCCTGACAGCCGCCAAATGACTTGCAATCAAATATTCTGTTTTCAGAGATTTAGGGGTTTTAGAGTCATCAATGAGGCATCATGGGCTTGTCTTTATTTTTTACCTCATGTATTTCTCTTCTTTGTATGTTTTCTAATGTAAATAAGGTGTCCGTGCAAGAGTACCTGTATTTAATTTGCAAATAAATAAATATGCACCTATCAGAGGTGTCCAAATATCTGATCAGTAAGGAGGTGCCATCCAAAAAGCTTGATGACTGCTGTCTGGGAGATTCACGTCAGGTACAGAGAGGAGCAGGGGAAAGCAGCCTCAGAGGGGAGAAGGCCAGGGGTTCGAATGCCAGGCCTGAAGTCCGAACTTCAGCAGGATCTGACCCCAAGCAACTTTAACTGGCTTCTAAAGTGAGCCTCCCTCCATTTGTGCTGCTTTTTAGAAGTTGGGGAAAAAAAGAAACATCACCATATTTGAAAGCTACAAAGATTTAAAGCATAGCCTGGTACTGACATCACAAAGAAGAGGACATAGAATGAAATAGGCCAGGCAGGGTGGCTCTTACACTTTGGGAGGCTGAGGCAGGAGGATCGCTTGAGCCTAGGAGTTTGAGATCAGCCTGGGCAACATAGCGAGACCTTGTCCCTACTAAAAAACAAAAAAATTACCTGGGCATGGTGCTGTGTACCTGTAACTCCAGCTACTCAGCAGGCTGAGATGGGAGGATTGCTTGAGCTTGGAAGGTTGAGGCTGCAGTGAGCTATGATTGTGCCAGGCTGTCCTCCAGACTGGGTGACAACACAAGACCCTGTCTCCTAAAAAATAAAAAAATGTTTGTAGGATGTCTTAGTCCGCCTGTGCTTCTGTAACAAAATACCATAAGCTGGGTGACTTATAAACTGAAATTTGTTTCTCACAGATCTGGAAGCTGAGTTCAAGATCCAGGCTCCGGCAAATTCCGTGTCTGATGAGGGCTCACTTGGTGGTTCATAGACACTGTCCTCACCGGGCTTAGGAGGCTAAGGAGCCCCCTGGGGCCTCTTTAGACAGGACTCAACCACTTCATGAGAGCTCTCCCTCATATCTGATCACCTCCCAAAGACCTCACCTTCAAATACCATCACACTGGGGGTTAGGTTTTAACAGACAAATGGGGCAGTAAGACACACACAGCCTATAGCAATGTCTTTATCCCTCAGTAAACATGCAAAAACTAGAAGTTCCACAAGGGCAGATATTATACCCCTTTTGTTCCTGGTTTGCTGGTGGGTGCATGTATTTATTTTAAGGAAGCAGCCATATGAATTGATGACGTAAATGGCTTTTGTTGAATAAGGAATGACCACTCCTCCCTGTTGAGCTAACAGAAGCTGCAGTGCCCTGGCTGGACTCTGGGGTCTGCTCTGTTTGGGCCGTGGTTTAATGCCTTGCAGGGCCTTGTTCTGAGAACAGCCTCCAGGCTGCTGCTGCTCACTGAGACCTCAGCTAACAAACCAGAGCTTCCACTTCCTCTGTTCCAATCTTCTCATCCCTGTCCCTGGGTCCTGTTGAGGTGGGAGGAAGCCCATAAAAACATACCTTTCCTTGTCCTGAGTTATGAAACAATTGAAAAATAAAATTACTTCCTATAAAGGGTATAATATTGCTTTATTTCTGGTAAAGATGATACTGCAGCCTAGGCAAGGTGGCTCATGCCTATAATCCCAGCACTTTGGGAGGCTGAGGTGGGTGGGTCACTTGAGGCCAGGAGTTTGAGACCACCCTGGCCAACTTGGTGAAACCCCATCTCTAATAAAAATACGAAACTTAGCTGGGCGTAGTGGCACATGCTCATAATCCCAGCTACTTGGGAGGCTGAGGTGGGAAGATCATTTGAACCTGGGAGGTAGAGGTTGCAGTGAACTGAGATCGCGCCATTACACTCCAGCCTGGGAGACAGCAAGACTCCATCTCAAAACAACAACAAAAAACACCCTGATACTGGAGGACACAGCCTCCCCCCATGCGTAGGTGTGTTCTGAATACTGAGTCTTGCAAGTAAACAGAAGCTAACCACGCAGTCCAGGGCGCACACCAAGGCGCAGCAGGGCTAGGTGAGAACGCGAGTCCACCAGGCTCTGTCAGGGGCCCCGCTCCTTGCTTACCCACCATGCTCATAATGCAAACATGACGGGAGCACTGGCAATCACCTGCAGTGAAACCTCACTTAAGGCAAACCTCCCACTGCTGAGACTCTGTTTGCTTATTTGTAAAATGGAACTAACACTTTCCTACCAGCAGAAATTGTGAGGATTTGGCAAGATGATCACAAGACCATGCAGACGAACATATTCTGGAAATGAAAATGTCATGTAAAATATAAAGGGTTATTACTGCTCCCATCATGATGGTCCTGAAACTCACAAAATGAGAATGAGGGAAGTGATTGCTAGCCACGCCACTGCCTCCCACTGCAGCCTAGGAAGGCCCAGTGACACCAGGGGCCCAATCCAGGGAGTTCGGGCATTGGCCAGCGACACCTCAGTGCACAGCAGAGACTCAAGAGGAAGGGAACTCTGGCCCCCTACCCACCTGCAGAAACAGAACGTGTCTTGCTTTCCACGTCCTTCATTCCAGAAATAGCCAGGCACTCTCCACAGGTTGTGGGGAGCAACGTGGGCTGCTGTGTTTTGATTTTCCCCAGAAGTGATCAGAGAAGAGCAGTTCCAGAGCCCGCTGAGCAGGATTGGAGAATTCACGTTCAGTTCCCCCCGCTTAGCTAAACATCCTCCTTTGGTTAGCCTGGCTGAGTCTGGAAAAAGTAAATATTTTTAGAAAGTCAAGCCAGTGATTTTGTTTTCTAAATCTATGCTAGCATGGTGTCTGGAAAGAAGAAATATGAGTTCCGACTGGGTTTAGGGAACAGAAACTGGCACTTGAACACCAACTGTGTATCAGACACAAAGCTGGGCATGCTCACATTCCTCTCCTTCCTTCTCACAGCAGCCCCGGAAGGAAAGATGTCACCCTCATTCTATTCCAGATGAGGAGGAAAAGCTTGGAGAGGCTGGGTGGCCTGCTACAGACACACAGGTGGCAAACCATAGAGCTGGGT